GGTGGAGGACAGGAAGGCCTGTCCTCCACCATCCCCCGGAGTCCACCTAAGCTCACACCAACTGCTTCAGTGACTCCATCTAGCCACCTCATTCTCTGCCGTCCCCTTCTTCTTTTGCCATCTATTGTTCCCAGCCTTAGGCTCTTCTCCAGGGAGTCCTTCCTTCTCATTAGGTGGCCAAAGTATTTGAGTTTCATCTTCAGTATCTGGCCTTCTAAAGAGCAGTCAGGGTTGATCTCTTCTGACACAAGTATGTTGGCTTTAGTTATTTTCCTGATAGGGAAACAGAAGTAGCCTCAGAGGTTTAATTATATTTATTCCCAGAGGCTTTTAAAGAATGAAATTGTCCTCCCTCTAGGAATAAAATAAAAGCTGGCAATGAGGGCAATGAAGCTAGACCTGACCTAGTTTCTAATTATGCCTGCAGCACACAGATCTTCTACAACAAACAATTTAAATAGAATTTCTAAAGCTTAATTCAACTTTTGAAATGTACACCAAGTAACTACAAAAATTCACGAAAGATGAAGTTATCAATGGCTACTACCTCCAGTATCAGTGTGCATCTGCCTATCAGTTGCTGGGAGCATGAATACAAGGATGTTACTGAGTTTGCGTCCTTATGTTTGAGCATCCTACAGGCAACAGGTTGGCCATTGTAGAAACAGAAGACTGGACTATACAGGGCTTTGGTTCAATTCAGCATGGCTCTTTTTATGCACATTTTTAATTATTGTATAATTCATAAAATAAACATTACCCCATTTGTAAGTCATGATTATTAATAATTATTTGTATACTACCCAATAGACCAAAGCTCTCTGGGCAGTTTACAGCAATTCACAAAATACGAAACTGTTTATACTGTTAAAATTTTTAGAATGAACCTCATCATATAAGGACTGCAGGGTTATGAAAGGTTTTGGCTGCAATCACTTCCTGACTACAGGATTCTTCAAGGGTTCTTCAGAGTTCCAGCTTTGAGATCACATGATCTTGGAGCTGGGACTCTAAAGGCTGAGCCCCTACTCCTCACACCAGGAAGAACCATATCAGCTGTCCTCCCAACCCCAAGGTTGCATTTGGTCCTCAGAGAGGGAAAAAAAGGCTATGCCAGGGTTAGAGGTGGGAGGAGGCTGGAGCCCAACCTCCTTCCATCCTCCCCTCTAGATAGATAAGCCAAAAGAGGCTGCCCAGATAAAATACCCAGCATGAAGTGTGGCAACAATGAGCAGAACTGCACCAGGCATAGGATGTATGCAAGACTCTGACTTCAGAGATTTACACGTGTCAACATTTGGGACATTATGTTGCACTCTTAAAATTCTTTAGAAAAGCCATGAAAGTGGAAAATTCAGCAGTCTTGGACTATACTTTCTATCAACTCTCCACTATGATCACTGGACACACTGGCTGGCACCAGTGACACTGACTGGGGAAGGTTTATGTAAAGTATATTGTATACAAGCTAGTTGTTTCAAACAAGTAAAATGAATGTAAAAATTGTATGACTTTATATTCCTCAGCTGTTTACAGGAAGGACAGATTAAAAAGATATATGTTCTAAGTCACTAATCAAATAGTTTTTAAAAAACCTAAATTCATTGTTTTATGTCTGTCAAGGTATAGTTCAGACTAATAAGAATACTGCAGGATGCCTACCATCCACATTTTGATCAAAGTGGTTTTCTGTAGATCACTTTTCATGCTGGCTAGGGAATGTGGTAACTGTAGGCCTATTTTCTGTCTAAGTATGCACTGGATTGCATCCTAAGTTGGGTAAAAATGTGTTGCCTAATGTTTTTGAGATCAAATAAGTGTGGTGTAAACTGCTGAGTTTTTCCTAAGGTTCCTGAAGTGACTGACAATTGAGCCAAAAAAATATAAATCAATAGATGTTAATATCTATTTTGATGTTTAGGGTGAGTGGCAGGTTTTATAACAGTGACAAGCATAGAAAAGCTATTGCTGGTCTCCATATTCCCTCTGTCTCTCTCATACATCCCCTCTGTTACCAATCTTCTATATTTCTTCCCATATAACATGCTGCTTCTGTGAATCTTTTAATTTTGTGTACTTTTACTTTATTATTATTCAGTACATAAGGCACAGTTGCATAGTTTGAATGTCATGTTGACTACACTAAACGATTAATGGCTAAAATAAGGGATGTAGATTTTCAAACATATTATTATATCAGTAACAACAACAACTTTTCTATGCTGCCTGGCAGGTCAGAAACCATGCTTATATAGAACACTAAAATACAATTTTATATACAATTTAAATACATAGTTCTACAAATCAGACCTCCAGTCCAACAACCTGTACTGAAAGAAGCATTTGATCTTTTCTTGTAAAGTAATTGATTTAGCCATGTTTGTGAAAACCAAACTTGCTTGTTTGTCTCATCAAGCTGACTGGATGACTTTGGCCCCATCACTGACTCTTAGCTTAACCTAATTCACGGGGTTGATGTGACAATAAAGTGAAGGAGAAGGTGCATGTACTCTGCCTTGGGTTTGCAAGAATAAAGGCAAGGTATAAATGTAACAAACAAACCATGGTTAACTCTTCTATAATCTAGAGAAAAAATGCATGGGAGTGGGTTGCAAGCAATCTAGCATATATTGTGCGCAAGGTCAACAACTCTTCAATAAAGGAAACTAGAACTCTGCTTTGAAGCACAAGCCTATTCATAGCTACTCAGATTAAGTTCCACTGATTTTGATGGCATATTAAGTGCATACAGGATTATGCACTTAATATGTTGACACATTAAGTGCATACAGGATTGCAGCCTTCTTCAAATTTTCTATTTCCCTATTTAACTATGTTCTGGAAATTTACCTAGTTTAAATTTATTCTTGTTAAATTCCGCTGCAGGAACTCAAAGGAATCCACCATAAAACAAAAGAGCAGAAATAGTCCTAAGAACACTTTATTTTTGTGCATGCACTCTTTGTATCCTTTTTTTTTTTTTTACATTTGGACTGCAATCCCATGCACATACTTGGAAATAATCCTAAATGAAATCACTGGAACTTACTTCTAAATGTATCACAATTCAGCACTATTGGAAAAATTCCACCTCTGCAAAACACATGTGGATATTAGCCTAACAAGATGAATATGGGTAGCATATGCAAGATATGTTGGATTACAATGCCAAGTGTCCATGATGACTGGAGGAATAATGGAAGCTGTGATCAACACAGCTGGAAGGCACTAGGTTGAGAAAAACTAGTCCAGAACAACTTAGCATGCAGCTCCCATCCTTCTCCATAGTATGTGTTCTTGTAACTATGTTCTTGTAGCTACTGTTGTCTGATTTGGCACTAACATTGCTGTCTGGACTGCTGTATAAGAATTCAATATAAGTTGAATTGGAATCAATATGCTATAACTTCATCATTACTCAGCAGGCAGAGTATATTCCCTGAGAGCATTTTCTATTTTGTTGATTATTGTTACACACCACAAGCTTCCAGTGTGGGTGTTCAGTCTACAATATGATTCATTACACATTGTGATTGCAGGTCAGCTGGAAACTGAATTCTTTTTGCATGTTTGATCCACTAACTGAAAAAGTAGATGTGGAAATAAGTAATATTTATATCCATGTCAGGAGAACTAATCTGCTGCTCCTGCCTTCCCCATAGTGTCATGAACAAACACCAGTGATCCGTGAGTGACAGAAGAGTTGAGCAGAAATACAGACACCTCATCCCTTGTTAAGAACACAAGAGCTGGATTGCAAACCTAGTCTGGTATCCTGTTTCCCACAGCAACCAATCAGATACTATCCAGAAAGCCGATAAACAGGTCGTGAAGGCCACAGTGCTCTCCTACTGTGATTTTCCTAAGGCATCATAAAAATATTAGGACCTAGCATGTGTAACTCAGGGAATGGAGATACACACGTACTTATCTCGTATTATGCCTTTGTAATTTTCAATACAAATCAAGAGTCCAGCTGGGCCCATCTAGCCCAATTCAGTTTCAGTTTCCTTGCTCTGGCCAACCAAAAATCCTGAGGCTCGGCTGCAAGGCAACGACAACCGTTACTCGCCCTTGTCCGCCGAGTCATGTCCGAGGATAGACTGCCTCAGAACATGGAGGGTCCGTTCATCTGCGCTGGTTCTCCAACTCCCCCTCACGCGCACCATTTTTAAGACACCCGAGCCACTCGCCGACTGCCACATCTCGCGGACGCGCCTCAAGGCACGCCAGGCTCTGTCCGTCGCTCAGTCACCTGACGACACCCCAGCCGTGGCGCTCCCTCACGCCTGAAAGGCGGAGCCAGCCCCGCCAGCCAGGCCCGGCGCCTTCCCCGCTTCGCCCGCGCTTACCCGCCTCCTCCTCCTCCTCTCTGGAGCCGTCCCGCTTGTCGCCTCGGAAAGAGCCAGCAGCACCACTGCGCCGCCCAGCTGTTCCCCATGGCATGTTGAGGGCGCGCGCGCGCGCGCGGGAAGGGCCGGAGCGGCGTCCGTCGAGTCACCACCCGCCGCCGACTTCTACAGCGGTCCGTTCGCGGCTCGAGCCGCCACCGCCCAACGGCGCCCACGGCCGCGAGCGAGGCAAAGGAAAGGCGGGGCCACGGCCGTGACGGAAACCGCTCCCTTCTTGTGCGCCTGCGAAGGGGACGAGAGACGCACCGCGCCGCACCGCTGCGTGACGGCGGCGCTCCGTTCCGCACGCCTCACAGGCTCCCGGATCGCGTCCTCGCTTGCGGAGTGCCGGCCAGCTCGGCTGCCGCATGCAGCCGCCTGCCCTGCCCCCATGTCCCCGTGATGCGCCGCCCCTTTACTTTCATTCACTCCGTACCAGAGCATGCGCAGGTGGGGCGCCCTGGCTCCTCCCCTCGCGTTGAACGCGAGGCTACGCAATACAGGAGCCCCGCCCACAGGAAAGGAGGATGGCAGGGAAAACGCAGCTGCGCGTACGGGGTGAGATTGCTGGTGAAAGTTAAGTTTAATAGCAGAAGTGCTGATTCCAGGAACCGGATGAATAAAACGGCTTCTCCGAATAGTCATGCATGGAAGCAGCCGGGATGCCCAGGCCTCAACCCCAGCATATATTTCCAGCGTCAAAACAAAACCTAATTTTGTGTATCTTTATTCCAAGGAACGATATAATCTGAATGTACCGGTTTTGTTGGGAGTGGTTGATCTATGCGGCCCGGTGGTGCAACGTATGCGGCATGCTGTTTGCGCAGTTTTGTGCTCGAGCTGGCTCTTCGCGCAGTTTCAGCGAAGTAATGCTCAAGTCAGGGCTCTATTTAGGCCTTGTTGCCTGTTTTTATTGTTGCTGTTTAGACTGTCTGTACAATTACACAGCACCTTATCTATAGAGTAATTAAAGCAGTGTTTCGAAGCAGATACAAAACACTTCAGTCAAACAGCACAAATGCTTGAATTTCAACTACAGGTACTTGCACCTGGAGAGCTTCTAGCCCTTGGAAGCAAAATGTATTATGCACAGATTGAATTTTCTGTCATGGATTGTTTTCTGCTTAAGAAGTGGAAGAAGTGGTAGATATGGGAGGGTTACAAATGGTGGTTGTCATCTGGATCATCTGTACAATTCCATGTTTAAACCAGGGCAATTGCAGGATAAAAGCCTTCTGTGGAGCCCCCTATGGGCTTAATCCAGGCCCCAGAATTAAGAATTGAAGTGTTGTCAAATCACCAAGCACTACACAATCCGGTTAAATCAATTACAGAATAAATGCCTGTTCATGGGACCAAGTCAGCACATTATGGTTGCTTTGTAAAGACTATGCTTGATGGCTTCTAAGTGAACTAGTGAACTAGTTATGCTTACCAAATGACATGCACTGACTGATTTTATGCGAAAGTTGACCTGGGGCAGCACTTAGTACTTTTCCTTGTAATCAATGAGACAGACTTTCTGGTAACATTATTAGATTAGAGTGTTAATGAATGATGCTATAGCCAATAGATATTGACTAAAAGGCTGCAGTTTGGAGCAGCCTTCTCTCCCTCTCCAAAACAGTCCAGCTAGATGGGCAAAAAAGCACATCTACCAAAACAACAGAGCAATAGGAAGGCAAAGATTGCCTCTGTCACTCTTCCTGCTCTGTACTAGCTGCATATAAGCCTTTGAGTTGAGGAGCTTGCAGGCATCCCAGTTGGATTTCTCTCATAGTTCTGGATGGGTTCTTAATTCCTTCAGTGCAAAGCTGAACAGAAGCATCAGAAGGAGAGAAAATATGCTGCCTGTATGGCATATAAGAGAGACTTATTTATAAACTAAAAAAAGGTTTGGTGTTAAATGCACAAGCATGGTGCCTCATCACTCTCCATCATTTTCAGTTTTGTGCAAATACAAAAGACATCCAGTTGTGTGATTTGCCAAGCATCCAAAAGTAAGTTAAGAAATGGCTGTTTGCAAAGGGAAGAACAAGAGAACTTAGAGGCACAGAAGAGAAGACTGTGGTATGGTGTTACGCATGCACCACACCAAAAAGTTTGAAGTGAAAGTAATAACAAGTGGCAAGTGTTTGTGTGTGCGTGCTTATATTCTGCAGTAAAAATATGCTCATTGATGGCCTTATATAAATAAATGAAAGTTGTATATAGACGTGTGTGGTGCATGCTATGCTTAAGTCCTGAAGGCATTTTGTGCTGATTGCAATAGAAAGAATAACATTATAGCAAGAGAATCAGGAAACAAATTACATACACTATAAAACAAATGTTGAGATAAAGTTCAGAGGGAATTACTGGATTTTCCCCCATGATGATTTGCTATGGTATTTATACTTGATTAGAACACAAACACATTTATCTACAAAGATAAAGCATAGCAACAAATCATAATTCACAGGCACTAAAAATTGCAAACAATCCCCAAAGGAAATTGAAGGGCAGAATGCAATCATATATTACCCAGCATGTGTCACGAACAGTGGAGTTTTTGCAGTTTATATTGGTATACTGCTGCCTTGTTTATTTTGTTTAGCCATATTTATCTTCTGATACAAAACACCTGCTGAACATTTTCAACAAAGGACATGCTGGCTGTATATGACAGTCCAAAAATGAAAAGTATATTCAAGCTAGGATGTAGTTGCTCCCAAATGCCTTATATTTGATCAGAAAATGTATGTTCTCAGTTGAATTAGAAATTATATTAAAGGAAAGGAAGATTGAAGACACAAGGAAAATGTGGGTATATAGATTTTTAAAGAAAGGTCTCAAAAGGCCAGGTATTAGATTGATTTGGAAATGGATGTCCTGTTTCTTAGAGTAGACATGTCAAATCTTTCTGTAACCTGAATATTACAAAAGAAGGCAGCTGAAAAAAATGAATACTTATTTTCTATTTTTGGCCAAGTGAATACTAATTATCATAAAACAACAAATTTTATTTGCATCTCATTACAAAAGCACAGTTTGATATAGTAACAAATAGTTGTGGGTCCAGTTCTACACTAAGCTCAACATGGTGGCCCTGTAGGGCACCAGATTGCAAAGATAGGCTGCGGGGAAGACTCATTATTAGAACATTTACTGGAACTGATGTCTGACATTTTACAGCTGATTTGAGATAGAGGCCACATAAGCTGGGAGAAGAAAGGCAATAATTCAATAAATCAGATATGCTTATTTTATCAACTCTAAGCACAATCCTATGCATGTTTAGACAGAAAAAAGTCCCATAACTACCAGCATTCCCCACAAAGCCATTCTGGCTGCGGAGTGTTGGGATTTCTAGGACTTCTGTTTCAACATGCATTGAATTACACCTTCTATCTATCTATCTATCTATCTATCTATCTATCTATCTATCTATTATATCCACATCCTGCTTTTTTCCTCTCACAAGAAACCCAAGGAGGCTTACATAATCCTCTGTTTTAATCGTACAACAATCCTGTGAAATAGTTTTGGCTAAGAGTGACTTGCCCAAAGTCACCCAGTGAGCTCCATGTTGAGAGTAGACTAGAACCCAAACTTGCCGAGTTCCAGTCCAGCACAGTAACCACTACACCACCATGGACTTTTGTGCACTTTTATGCTCCTCCTGCTCTTTGTCTAAAAATAAAAGCGAACACTGGTGCAAGTTGTGTTTGTATTGTCAGTTTGTCTCCACACTTAGAGTGTAAAAAACGCTGAAGCCAATAATGGAGAGAAGCAAGAAATTAAGGGTTCAGCAGTACCCTTAGACTTATCTTATTTAACCACTGCAGGCTTCGTAGCACAGATTGGCTTGCAGATAAACTGCAGTGGAAATGTTAAGAAAAGAGTCAAGAAAATTTAGGCAGAAGTGGCTGGTGGCTCCAATGTCAGTAGGGCATTGTTCCACTCCAGGATTCATTCTGACCTTTAAAGGAGCTCTCCAGGGTGCTGAAACTATTTTGGGGTTATTAATATTGGAGTTGTTGGTCCTCACGGATTTTAAGATGGTGGTGGAGATCCTCTTTCAAGCTGAAAAGCAATGGTTGCAGTGGTGGAGCCCATAGGGCAGGGTCAAAGGCAAAGGGCTAATATAAAAATGAAAGCAAAGCAACATACTTGTAGCTTAGAACGCTTATGCCAATAACCAAGCCTTAGGAGAGCCATTTCAACCTTATGGATAAGAAAAACCTGCATAAACCAAGACTCCAACTAGCTAAAGTTGGAGGAAAGGGATGGGACCAGTGAAAAGGAAATGGCCATCTGGACAACCAGAGTAGTGGAATTGACCACTGCAGTTACGGTTCCCCACCTTTGCTTTAGGATGTTTTAATTGTCAGCACATTTTCTTTGGCTGACTAACACCATTATGTTGGAGGGCCTTCTAAACATATTGCAAATAAATAAACTTCTCACATGTACAAGAGGCAGAGACTTTGTAGGCTTACCCATGCTTTTACATGATCCTTAGTCTTAGCATTCCAGATACATCATTGCCAAGATAAGATTCTTGAGTCATTCGTTTTTCAATATCTTAATAGGTTGAAGAGAACAGATCATTTCCAGGAGTCTCCATAGGCGATGATTGAATAAGGTCCTTTTTAAAAATTACTGTAATCTGTGTATCATTCTGGTACACCCCATGATCTCATCTTGCGTCTCATCGACAGATCACTGACTTCTGTGAAGTAATGAGAAAAGAAGAACAAAGTAGCCAGGCTGGTTCAGATTTTGCACAACCCTTTGTGGAAAACACCCTGGGAATAGATGTAGAGAGTGCAACGAAGTATTTGTCCCCAAAGCAATCTTAACTCTCCTGTTCCTTTCCTCCTCCTGCAGCCAGTTCACAATATTTTGCAGCCTGAGGCAAAGGACCAGAAACCCTTGCATTCCTTGGCTCCACCTAAAGCAGAAAGCACCTTTGGTTGTCCAGACAGACTGTGTACTCAGCTACTGTTACAGTACTCCAAGCATTTGCTACCAGCATTTCCTCTCCACCTAATGGAAAACTAGTCCTTCTTTTCCTATTGTTGGTTTTTTTGCATCTTGCCTCCTTAGGCTTATCAGTCTTTCCTCTGAACTAGTTCCAAACATGAGAGAGAGCGAGAGAGAGAGTGTGTGAGTGAGCGAGCGAGTGCACATGTAGGAGAGAGCTAAAAAAAAAGGGGAAAAGTGGGGTAGTCAGTCTGAGATACCCAGAAGGATAAACAAGTGGCTAGTGGGAAGTTAGGGAAAAAGCCCTCTGTAACAGAAACAGTTCTCTGTTCTTTCATGTAGAAATGCAGACATAAGCTGTATTGATTTTTAAAATGTATATTT